CTCCAGTGTGTCCATTGCACGTGGTGGAGCACAGATGGGCCTGTCTGGCTGCAGGACATGGACATTCTTATTAAGTTGACAAATTTGCTAAGAGAATGAGGCGTCGTCCACATCAGCTAGGGACGTCCACAGAAGCAGCAGCCAGACGACACTCACCCTTGGGCTGAGGTAAGGTACAGGCTCCCTGTGCTCACACTCCTAATGAGGTGACCTGGACAGTTGTCACCCTAGAAACGAGAGCTCACCCACAAGCACGGCAGGTAGGACCATGACCAGCTGGGTCACTGCCAACCCTCCTACCACCTCTGCTTTCCCCCCATTCCTACAACTGAGGCACAGAGAGGATGAGCAACTTGCCCAAGGTCACAGAGCTAGTAAGGGACATGTCAAGACAGGTGGAATCTAATCTTCCTCAAATTATTCTATGAAATAGAAAAGGAGGAAACCCTTCCAATATTACCCTGAAACCCAAACCAGACAAAGACACATCAAAGAAAGAAAACTTCAGACCAATATTCCTGATAAACATAGAAGCAAAAATTCTTAATACTGGTAAATTATATACAAATACATATTAAAAAGATAGTGCCCCATGATCAAGTTTGGGTTCATTCCAGGGATGCAAGGTTGGTTCACCATACAGAATAATCAATGAATGTAATTTATCACATCAATAGACTTAAAAGACAAGAATCATATGATCATCTCAACAGATGCAGAAAAAGCATTTGACAAAATACAGCATCCATTCATGTTCAAAACACTAGAAAAATTAGGGATAGTAGGAACATACCTCAACATTGTAAAAGCTACATATGCTAAACCCAAGGCCAACATCATTCTGAACAGAGAAAAATTGACAGCATTCCCTCTAACAACTGGAACAAACAAGGATACCCTCTTTCATCGCTTCTATTCAACACAGTCCCTGGAAACTCTAGCCAGAGCAATTAGTCAAAAAAAAAAAAAAAAAAGAAAGAAAAAAAAAATTAAAGGGATACAAACAGGTAAAGAAAAAGTCAAACTATCCCTATTTGCCAATGACATGATTCTATATTTAGAAGACCCCAAAAAATTCCACCAGAAAACTTCTAAAACTCACAAATGAATTCAGCAAAGTAGCAGGATATAAAATTAAAGCCCATAAATCAATTGCATTCCTATACAGCAGAAATTCATATGTAGCAAAATGAAATTAAACCCCTATTTCTCACCCTGCACAAAATTCAACTCAGAGTRGATCAAGGACCTAGGATTAGACCAGAGGCCCTGCACCTACTTGAAGAAAGAGTCAACCCAACTCTCCATCATGTCTCTTAGGAGCCGACTTCCTCAACAAGACTCCTACAGCACAAGAAGTAAGATCAAGAATCAATAAATGGGATGAAATCAAACTTCAAAGCTTTTTCACAGCAATGCAGATAATCCCCCCCCGTAACATAAACAGAGAGCCTACAGAATGGGAGGAAAATCTTGCCACCTGTACCTCAGAGCATTGATCTCCAGAATATATAAAGAACCCAAGTAATTAATGCAAAAAAAAATGACCTAATCAATAAGTGGTCAAAGGAACTGAACAGACACTTCACAGAAGAAATATGATGGTCAACAAATATATGAAAAAACGTTCAACATCTCTAGCAATTAGAGAAATACAAATTAAAAGTACACCGAGATTCTCTATCACCTAGTCAGAATGGCAAGTATCAAAAATACGAGTGATAAATGCAATTCCTGTTAAAATTCTAATGACATGTGGGCGAGGATGTGGGGAAAAGGTACACTTGTGCACTGCTGGTGGGACTGCAAATTGGTGTAGCCATATGGAAATCAGTATGGAGATGCCTCAAAAAACTCGGAATGGAACCACCATTTGACCCTGCTATCCTACCCCTCAGTTTACAGCCAAAGGACTTAAAATCAGCGTCACGACCCCATCAATGTTTATCACAGCTCAATGTATAGTAGCTGAGCTATAAAACCAGCCCAGGTGCCCTGCAGCAGGTGAGTGGATGAAGAAACTGTAACACGTGTGTGTGTGTTTGCATGTTCTCTATATACACACGTGTGGACGTGTGGACCTTGGATTCCAGCCTCCAGGGCCATGAGAAGCACTTTCTGTCATCCCCAAGGCAGCCTGTCTGTGGTACTGTGTTAGAGCAGCCCAAGCTGAGTCGGCAACACGCACGAAGTGGGAAGGCCTGCTCCATCTCACAGGAGCCCGGCTCAGGCACCTGCCTGTCCTGGCCCCGGGGCGTCCTGTCGTGGACGGGTCGGCTGTGGCAGGCCGGGAGCTGAGAAAGCCGGCGCTGAAGCCCTCCCCTGCGGCCCTACCTCCTGCAGAAGACCCTCTGCCCCGGCCCCCTCCCCCACGTGTGCTTCTCCTGGGCCAGGCGCAGGGCCCGCTCTGCAAACAAGACCGGTGTGGTCCCCGTTCCTGGCCTTAGCACAGGAGAAAATGCAAAAGCGTGTTTTCTTAAGGGTCGTTAAACTTGAGCCCTGGGGTAGCAAGGACACAGAAATGGTTCCTTGTGAAAATCGCCTTCAGTGGCCTGATGCTCCCAAGGTTCTGCTGTCCCCAGGGCTGACCACACACACAGTGTGACAGTGCCTGTGTGTGTGGAGCGCGCGCAGTGTGGCCTGCCTCCAGCGTGACGTGCGAGGCCAGTCTGTGAAGCCCTCCCGTGCTGAYGAGACCCACGGACACCCAGCCTGGGACCGATCGTCAGACCTGCACTAAAGCAGACACCACCCGGTGACCCCGGGCAGCAGACCTGTCCTCCCCCAGCCTTTCTCAAGGCCAGCCTGCCTCCCACTGGGCCTCAGCATCTCCAAAAGTTAAAGCTAAAGCAGATGCCCAGCCAGGCCCACTRACGGAGCAGCCAGGTCACGAAAGGTCTAGAACCTAAGCTCCCTCAGGATGCTCACAGGGGACAAGACGATGCCCCGGCTCCATCACATGTGCAGACATGCGGCCAGCGGTTGGGCAGGCGGTGGACACGCTGCGGTGGTCCTGAGAACCGAGTGGTCTACGGCCAGCACTTTCTGCTTCCTCRCCACATGTGGGCTGAGGCAGGGCCAGTGGGGTTGGGACTCGAGATGCTGCAGAGACACCAAAGCTGATCCTGGTCCCCAGGGGCACAGCAGGGCCCCACACGGGCTTCCCCTCTGTGGGGAAACTCCCCCAAACAACAGTGACCCTTCTTGTTAACCAGTGCTGAAACTTCCTCCCGCACAGGTTGGGTCAGTGGTCTGTGACCCTGGGGCGCAGGGACCCTCCTGGGAATGGGACAGACTGCCTGCACCTGCTTCCAGGGGCTCGGGAACTCGCTTCTCACCCTGTTCCAACCTCACTGTCCCCAGGGCAGCGCTGAGATTCCCGTCAATGAGAGGCTCGGTGCCTGACCTTTGATCACAGCACGCCTGTTGGCCAGGAGTCCGGACCCCACGTCCAGCAGCCTGGCAATGCCCCATGACAGGAAGCCCRGGAGCCCTTTCCTGGGGGGGGTCTCCTCCCACCCTGGCCTGGGCGAGCGAGGACAGTGCTGGTGGCTGGACGCCTTTCTCTGTGCCAGCCCAAGGGTGACGGGCTGACCCACCAAGCCTCAGAGAAAGCCCGGCAGGGAGGTGAACTGCTGGGGCCAGAGCCTGGGCTCAGACCCCAGCCTGGCACCAGCTGRCCACGAGGCCTTAGCCTAGTCACATGGCCTCTCTGCGCCTCAGTTTCCCCATCTGAAAAGTGCCACCTACCTTGTGGGGTTGCTGTGAGGACACAGTGTTTCCTGTAACAACCCGACTATGCCTAAAACRTGAGACACACCCAATAAGACAGGGTGGCCATTGTCACTGACAGTGTCCAAGAACCACGTTACAGAGTGCGTGAGCGACTCACACAAGGTCACACACCAAGTGCAGGGCCCAGTCTAGGCTGGTGGTCCCCTGACCCTCAGGGTAGCTTCTGATGGGTAGGGAGGCTGCTAAACATCCTGATGCCCAGTACAGCCTCCACAGCGGAGCCTCCCCACCCCCAAATGCCTCTAGTGCCAAGGTTGAGGCTCCTGTTGTAGCCCATGACTCCTGGTTGACCTGCTGGTCTCAGGTGTGACCCAGGAGGGTCCTGTGTCCTGCAGGAGGCCGATGGGCATTTAAGGGAAAGKCTCCAGGGTCAGACAATTCTGGAGGCACCACCTCTGGAGAGCCGTCCACTGCCCTTTGGCCATGGGCTGGCTGAGTTTCTGCCACAAAGACACCAATTCAGCTCTCAGAGTTGTCCCCCATGGGACCCCAGTGCCCCCTTGRTATCCTGCGCCCCACCTCAGCATTGCTTAGACCAGGTGGAGAGGCTGGGAGGGGGGCAAGGTGACAGGAGGGACACTGTGCAGCCCTGGGCTCCCAGGTCCACCTGGCCTTGGCACTTGCCACCCATGTCCCTTCAGCTCCAGCCAGGACCAGCATCACCCTCAGCCACCACACATTCCCCTGGACACTTGAGGAAGAGGGCCTGGCCTCCTCTCACGGACAGGGAGGACCCCACTTCTGACCACCTCTGCATGGCTGTCCCCTCTGGGGCAGAGCAGTTCAAGCACTGTCCCTCCCTCCACGTCTCACTCTGCTTTGGCCCTTCTCTAATTAGAGCTTCTGCTGCCACGTCTAAACCTTGGGCACGCCTTGGCAGGGTGGCATCCTCAAAGCCACCTGCCGCTCACTTTAATGCACTTTCATACACCAAAGATCACGTACCTGAGAACAACACTCAACCCTCCACGTATGACAGGCTCCCCGGGTGTCCCCAGGTGTCCCAGGTCCTCCCGAGCCTGTCTGCAGGCCTCAAGCCACGTCCCAGGAGAGGCGCCCCCGGGAGCCTGCCCTCCGTCTCTGCACACTCAGGCCTGCACCTGGCCCCTCAGCACGCTAGGGGAGAGTGCCAGCGCCGACGTGGCCGTGTGCCTCAGCCCTGGTGGCTGGCCGCCTGGGCCCACGCTTCCCATCGCCCTCCTCACCAGAGATGACGGAGTCGTTCAGCACCTCTTCATCCTGGTACAAAAGCAAGTCRTCCTGGAGCTCAGAGTTCAGCAGCAGGTTCTCCTTGTTCTCCTCTGACTCCTTGGCTGCAGTCCRCTTGTTCTCCAAGACCCCGTCGGCGCTCCACGCCTCCTCCCGCTCCTTGCCCCGCTCCATGCTGGACGTTCTCGACAGACGGACATCCACCCGCTTCTTCGGAGACCCTTTGCCTTCCCGTCCTTGAAAACTAGATCAGAAAGTCCCATGAGTTGCGTGCCAGCCCTCACCTGGAAACCTGGCAAAATCGACTTGGTGTGATTATCACTAGGGTGGCCCCGAGAATGTGCAGCTTCTGTCCCAGGTACCTGGGCAGGGAGTGATGGAAGGACCATCCCCCTGGGCAGGAGGCTCTCCTGGAGAGCACAGAGCAGGCGGGGGACAAGGCCTGCCAAYGCAGGGTGCAGCAGGCAGGGCTGCGATCAGGGACCTCACAGGGGCCAAGAAGGGCATCTGCTCCTCTGATGCTCCACCAAAGCACGTGTCCTGTGGCCCACCCACCTCCAGCAACCCCTTCTCCTTCCACCCGCAGGCCACATGGATGGAGAGCGAGAGGTGGCTGTGGGCACAGGGCTTCCGACCTCCCGATAGGATGCTCCAGGCCTCAAGTTCTGCACAAAGAGCAACCTGCTGTCAGCTGCTCCTCCCGTGACCCGCTACATCCCGAGGGCTCACGGAGGAGCCTCACAGCCAGGTCCCCTCACGCACAGCCCCAGCCCCCACGGCCTCCCCTGGGAACCAGGCCACCTCTGTGGTCTGCAGAGTCCAGGGCCTGACTCTTGTTCAGAGWTTGTCCAGGACGCCAAGATGGCCACAGAAGTGAATGAAACTCAGCCCAGGGCCCTGGTGACCCCTGGGCGGCAGGTCCACAAGGCCAGGCTGGTGGGAGTTCTGGTAGCACGGGCSGCCTGGGCAGACTCCGGGCCTCACCTGTCCTGGCGGTGCTTCGTGGCCAGCGCCCTGTGCAGCTCCTCCATGACGCGGCTGGGGGGCAGCGGCCGGTGGACCGTGGTGAGATGAGGGGACCCCGTGGGCGTGGAAAGCTGTCCTCGGAGGGGCGGGTCTGCACCCTTCATACCGGGGCCTTGAAAGAGCACAGCTTGGCCTGGACGGGAGGAACCAGCCGGATCATCACACTCCATGTGGGACCAGGGGCAGAGGACCCACGCCTCCCCCAGCCCAGCCAGACCCAGGCACTTCCCTGTGGGTTTCCCTCC